CTGGCTGCCGCCAACTGTGCTCGTGAGCGAGTGCCGTTTTGTTTGGGCCAACTGGCGGCACCAGTACCATTGATGTTATATGCTTGCCTCGCCCTCTCGTAGACTGCGTGTCGCGCACCAGCCCGTTGAGGCGGGTAAGTCGAGAGCTGCAGATCATCCCCACCGCTGGCCCTGCTGATGACCTCCTCATCATCGTTAAGACTATGTGCGCTCCCTCCATCTCCCCTGTGTCTGCGCGAGAGCGCACTTTGAAGTGGGATCGTGATCTCATTATGCGGTGCCTTCGGCGTGGGGAGCGGCGCGCTGAATTTGCACGCGCCCTCCACCTCCGTCTTGAGGCTGATGAGAACACACTCACAGCTCTACTCGATCGGTCGATAGCTGATGATTTTTTGAGGAGACGAATCGAGTGCTGATGGAGGTGGGGCAGGAGGTATTCAGTAGCAGCGAGACTGAGCAGCAACGGGCCTATCAGCTAGAACGCGAGCAGTTGCTAGAGCAGCGCCGACGGCTACGGCTACTGCTACCCGAAGTGGACTCCTCGCATGTCGAGCAGGTGCAGCCCCGACGTCGTGATGCCCCGCGGCTTCATCATATTTTTCGCCCCCGTGCTTGGGAGGAGTGGAGGGGGGCTTTACTTGATGAGGTTCGGGAATATTGAAAGTATCGACGCCTGGCTGAGGCTTCGCGTTTGGCACGTCGGGCCGCTGGCTCCCGGTTCGGTCCAAAACGCCGTGGCTATGCCACGGTGCGTGGATCAGTTGACGTTTCCGCTGCCCTACGAGAGTTTTTCTGTCTACCAGAGCCTCGGGGCGGCATGGGCGCTCTCGTCATTGAGGACTGAACTGCCTGGCGCGCGCAGTGGGTCTCGCGCGCGCATCCCAGCGCCGATCCTACGGATGACGATGCGCGGCATGGTCGATGCGACCTGCGTGCGATCGTTCGCCGCTTGCGAGTCGCAGGCAAGCGTCGTGCTGTGCCCGAACTGTCGCATCCTCTTGAGATGCGGCGGTTCCCCCAGATGAACCTCAACCAGCTTCCGACGGGTTTCGTGCCTTTACTCGCTGGAGAATTTCCGAGATTTCTTAGTGCTGGGCTTGGCATTAATTCACAGTTGTGGGCAGATGCAGACTTTTTGGAATTGCAGTCGCGGCGCCCCCCTTCCCCGCCCCGACGGACAAACCCGCTGGGTCCACCTGTCGGACCCGTTCGGCAAGGCTTGGATCTCGGGGATGATGGCCCAGCGTGGCCAACTCCAGGGGACTGATCAGGATCGTGGGTTCATTCGTCATCGACGTCGCGAGCGTGCTCTCGTGGCCCGCTGGATCACCGGCGATAGGCTCGCTAGTTATGGCTACGTTTTCATTGCGAATGCTCGCGAATTGACGAATGCATCTGCTGGCAGCGCGCGCCCCTGCATGGGGCGTGCTATCGGAGATTTGTTTCTGGAGTTTGTTGTTGAGCACGGCCGGTCACGCGTGCGCAGTGCTGTTGTCGCCCAGCGTGGCCACGATACCAATGTCCATCTTTCGCCGCAGAGTGGGGGGCTCATGGGGGGGCGAGTTTGCTGCGAACAAGTTTCTTCGGACGTTCGTGCCGCCCGCCCAGAAATGGCTTGCTGATCATTGCAATTCTGACCGGCAGGCGTCTCTTCCGCGCGCGCCGCTGCCTGTCCTGCGCGACGGCCGCCTCGAATACAGCGCCGAGGGGATTGACTGCTCGCTTGCCAAGTACGCGGGCGATCTCACCAAGAAGCTGGAGCTCCCCAGCGGGGCGGAGCCCTGCGATCTGGTCTGTCTCAGTACGCGATCGAACTCAGCGCTGGACGGGCATCTGGGTGAAATGGGGTTTCCTTAGAATCTGACGAAGCCGGATGCCCTCGTGCACGTTCAAGGTCAGGGCGCTGCTCATTTTCTTCAGGTTGTGAAGTCTGGGCAACTGACGTTCCCTGGGAGGTCGGTCTTAGCTGCAGAAAGCTCGGGGGCCTGGATGTCCAGTGAACCTACCAGTAAGCCATTGTCCTCGGAGGCTGCACTTAGATGGTGGCGTCTCGTTCCCCTGGACCTCGAGGTTCGGATTCGTTGATCCCGTCTCTGGCAAAGTGTCGCGCAGGTCCCAGGGGCCCATCGACAACTCCTGTTTGTTTGTTTGGAACATTCGGATCGGACCTGCCACGTGCACGCCCGCGTGGACGGCTCGAGGGACGGGCTTCGCCGTGGACCGAGCGCTTGCGCGCAGATGTTGACAGCTTTCCACCCTCGACGATGGCCCCTCTCTCCTTGAACGGCTGGATGGCCGGTACTTTTTACTCTTCGCCGAAGCTGACTGGGCCGATGAGGTTTGCGCGATGGCTGTTCGGCAGTTGCGGGCCGCTGCCTTGGCGATAAAAAAATTACCCCCCTGGCGCTTCCTCCGTACCTGAGGCCGTTGCAATGGGGGACGGGGTGGAGGTGCAATCTATGTATATCTGCGTGATAGTATCTGAGTCTGGGGAGGTATGTGTGCGTGCTTTAACTGATACGCGTGATCTCATAATCACCTTATCAGTCATCGCGGGTATCGGACCTCAGCCAATGCGCGCACGGTTACGAATCAGCGCTGCGCATGCCCAACCACCTTCGCTCATCGCGAAAGTGCACGACGCCATCTAGCTGGGAGCTGGATGCGAGGCTGGTGTTTTATGGACAACTCTAGAAACCTGGCTGAGGCACGAGTTCCCTCTTCGCTGACATGCCCCGCGTGCTCGTTCTCTGCAGGCAATCTGCCCGATCTGCAGGTTCATTTGCGTTCTCGCCTTGACCCTGAGCCACTCCCCCCCCATGGCGGCAGCGCCGGGTTGGACGCCGGCGGTCTCCACCGACGCCGCCGAGGCCGCGCCGCGCCCCAGGCGCGGTCGGTCCGAGGAGCTCGTGGCCCAGGCGTTGGGGGAGGGGGAGTCCAGCGGCGGCGGCGCTCTGAAGGCGCGAGTCGCCATCCTCGCTCGGCTGGCCCTGAGCACCGCAGCCGAGCTTCGAGAGCTGCGCGGGGTCGTTTTCGTGACCTTCTTGGTCGACGCCGAGCACGACGTGGTCAAGGCTGCCAAAGCCGCGGGCGCGGCCTACTGCAACGAAGCCAAGCGCCGCAAGTCCGCCAACGACAGCAATCCCATGGGCCCGTCGTTCGCCCGGGCGCGGGTGCCCCTCGTCCGAGGCGTCGCTGCCCGCCGCGGTTAAGTCGCCCCTGCACGAGGATTGGAACACCTTCATCATGAAGAACGACATCGACACGGTGGCCAACAGCGTTCGCGCGCGTCGGCTCCGCCCGACGCGCAAGCATGAGGGCGAGGCCGCGCTGGTGCGGCTCACATTCGCCGTCGATCACGCCTACCAGCACATGGAAGCGGCCCCGGTGAAGTTGTTCCTGTCCATTGGGGGGGTCCGCAAAATAGGGGCGGCCCCGAAGGGAGCATTGGAGAGAGATGCCCAGAAGTTGCTCGACCAGCTTGAGGGCAAGAAGTAGCGCATTCAGCATATGTGCGTGAAGTGAATGAGGCGGAGTCCGATCTTACGATGACTGTCGCTGGCGGGGCGTATGTATCTTCTCTCGGCAGCTCGCCCCAGTGGGGGGATGAGGTTGTTGTGGCGGCTGATGACTATGAGAGTGGCGAGCGTGACGGCGCCAAGAGGTGCGGCCACGGTCGCGTCTATCACCTCACGGACTCCTGCGGAGCAGAATTCGTCGACGGTGTTCCCATCGTCTTCGTCTCGATCTGAGCCAGTATGTAACGATAGCAAGCGTTCTCCTGGGGCTCTTCCTGGGTCTTCGATTTCGGCCCTCGGTCGCTTCGAGGCCCGTCGGTCTCCTCTCGCTCGTCGGTATGCTCCTCCTCCTCCGCCCGCGTTTCGTGGTAGTGCGCGATTTCTAGAATTGCAGCGTCGTGGTGCGCTCCCCACTCCTGCCCTGAACTCCTTGGGGCGGGTGGCTGGTGCTTTTGGTGTCTCTTTAGTGGCGCGTTCGGCCACGTCGAATACCTTTGCCCTCAGGGGGGGTGCGCACGATTCTCGGATTGTCATTGTTGCTCAGGCTCGTGCAAAAGTAGCGAGTCGGAGAGGTAGGAGTTCGGGCCCGCGGGGGTCTGCCTAGTGTCCTACCGGGCCCTGCTGTGGGAAGGGGTGGTGCCATGAGTCGCCCACTGGATCCTCCTCCATTGGGGTCGTCTCTAGGCTAGTGCGTTTTCCCCGCCAACAGGGCCGTTCATGTGGGAAGTTGGCCACTGCTGCCACTTAGATCCAAACTGTTTTTAGTCTCGTAAGTCAGGGAGACTTTGGGTCCGATAGCTCTTTGCTTCGTTTCGCTCGCTGTTTCGTTGAAGCGCGAGCATGGAATAAGGCGCGTGGATTAGCGACGGGTCATGCTTCTAATACAACATCGACGCCCTCCGTCGCCACATCGGGCGGCACTGCCGCCATGTTTCGGGGGTGCCTTCCCCTGCTTCCCTGCTGCGTTTGCTCTCCTGGGTCGTCCACCTGCGAGTGGGGCATCCATGATGAAGTTTGTAAGCCTTCCTCGTGCATTATGCCGGCGACGCCGGAGGCTTCGCATCGCTTGTCGGTGTCGTCTCACCCCCCCCCCTTTTTGCCAATGCACCTCTGACGTGCACGGTTTCTCTCTCTCTCTCTCTCTCTTCCCCGATCCGTGGATCCGGCGCCAACGCGCAGGATCCATGGATCTGTGAACCATATTTGCGTGCGCCCAGCAGGTTGGTCAAACGCAGCGGCTCTGAGGGCAAGCCGTGCTGTCTTGATAGTTCAGCTCGGGATTTTGTTGGATGTTCGCAGATTGGGGAGGAGGAGGAGGACAGTGAGGAGGAGAAGGAGGAGGAGGATGAAAAGGAGGAGGCTGAGGAGGAGCAGGACTGTGAGGATGACGGAGGAGGGAAATGAAGGAGAGAGGGAGAAGGGAGGTGCGCAAACATTGCAATCTTCCCTCCAGTGCCCCATGCCGTTTCTGCGCCGCTGCAGCCCTGCAAGGACGCCACCAAGTGCGTCTCTGGCGGCCTCGAGAAGGCGGTGGTGGCCTACGACGTCGTCGCTCAGCAGCCGGCCTTCCCGCCGCCTCTTCATGGAGCGATAAGGGAGGCGAACGGAGGGGAGTGGGATGTGCACAGACATGCACATGGGGATGGGATAAATGGAGATGGGGTTGGCGAGTCATGGAGATGTGGCCTCGACACCGCGCAGAATCGCGAGTGGCTACGATCCTGGCAAAGCGCCAGCTTTGTGGCTGCCAGCAGGCGCGTGAGGGGGCGTGCAGCGGTCCAGCTACACTGGTGCAATTGTGCAGCATGGCGGCGTGCAGTAATTCGTGTCACACAGGCGGAGGCAGCTGTGACCGGAAGGATAGATGCTCAAGCGCTCACTAAAAGAAGAGCGCCTTCACAATAAGCAGGGCTGGACCTAAACGCTGATGTGCTTGACTTCGGCTGCGTCTTGTCTGTCGTTTTGGCAGGGATGTATAGGAGGAAAACAAAACGAAACACAACGTTTGGGTCCAGCCCTGACAATAAGGCTGACACGTGCGTGGGCACGTAAACTTAACGGGGATGAAGCCTAGCTCGCTAGGGGGAAGCGGAAGATTGCCACGAGGAAGGTGAAGTCCTCTCCGCCCCTCCCTTATGTAACCATTTGTCTCTCCTTTGAAAAGGCCACGGCCTCCACCTGCCTGGTCGTAGGCTGGCCAGGAAGACTGTCCGCAGCGGTGGTATTCTGCATATTCTTCATCTTCCTCTTTTTCACTCCTCGGGTGTTGCTAGAAGTGCCCCTGCTGACCCAAAGTGCTCCCAGCTTTTCGCTCCATTTTGAAGCCACTGGGGCCCTCTCGGCCTCGTCAAGGGTGCTCTAGAGGCCGTCTGGGCCACCCCAGAGATCCTGGGGGCACCTTGGGCCAGGGGCACTTCTAGCAACACCCGAACTCCCTGCATGCTGCTTCGCCCCGTTGCTCCCGTCCCCTTCGCCGTCTCTGGCGCCCCTCCCCTGGCAAGTCATGGCCGGTGTTCATGTCGTGCTGACGCGGCGGCGACCCCAGCGCGGGTGTCTCCAGTGTCCGAGAATCGGCCGACATCAAATTCGGGCGTCGAGATCTTCAGCTATAAGTGAAATATGTATGTATATATACATACATATACATTTACATATACATCTATAGATATAGAGATAAATATGTATGATCCAGGGGTTCGGACCCACGCCCCCCCCTCCCCCAAGATGGGATGGGTCCCAGGGTTTCACGTCCCTATCTCCCCAATGGGATGGGGGGGGACGACGACGACGACGACGACGACGACGATGACGACGACGACGACGACGACGACAACGACGGCAACGACGACGACGACGATGGCGACGACGACGACGACGACGACGGCGACGGCGACGGCGACGGCGACGGCGACGGCGACGGCGACGGCGACGGCGACGACGACGACGACGACGACGACGACGACGACGACGACGACGACGACGACGACGAGGACGACGACGACGACGACGACTACGGCGGCGACGACGGCGACGACGACGACTACGACGGCGGCGGCGCCGCCGCCGCCGCCGACCTCCGGAGCCCTCCGATGATGACGACGACGGCGGCGGCGACGACGACGACCTCCGGAGCTTTCCTGGAGCACCACAGCGCCATGCCACGCGCGCAACACCCGCAGCACCGCACTGCACCCGCAAGGGGGGGGGACCATCGCGCCATGAGTGGGGGGGGGCGATGGCATCAGCATGAGGTGTGGGGGGGGGCAGACCCATATATATATATATATATAATCCAAAAGCAGTATCAAGAGCATAATGTTGCCCCTCTGTGACAGAGGGGCGGCGTGTTGGAGCCCCTCTGTGACAAAGGGGCGGTGTTTGGAGGCCCTCTGTGACAGAGGGGGTCGTCATCCTGTTCCTCCTCATCCTGCTGGTTGAATTCGTATATATCATGCTACTTCTGCGCTCATCATACTTGCGTCTGTGATCCTTGTCGCGTTTGTCCTTTCACAATATCCACCACATTCTCCTCCGTTGTCTTTTTTGCCCCGCCATCTACCTCGTCGCCCTCCTTCGTTTGCATTTCCTCCTTCTCTTCCGCCTTTGTCTCCCCCCTCTGCGCATCGTCATACGTGTCGTGGCCCCACAGGGAGCTCCACCTGAGGCCCCAGTGCCAGGGCCTGCATACTTGGTCCAAGTCGGCGCACCCCTCGCACGTTTCTCGGACCCACAGGGAGTTCCACCTGAGGCCTCAGTGCCAAGGTCCGCATACGTGGTCCACACCATGTCGGCGAATCACTCAGACGCTTCGCGACCCCATTGGGGGCTCCACCTGAAGCCCCATTGCCAGGGCCCGCATACCTGGTCCACACCATTTCGGCGGACCCTCACACGCTTCGTAGCCTCATAGGGAACTCCACCTGAGGCCTCAGTGCCAGGGCCCGCATATTTGATCCACACCATTTCGGCGAACTCCACACACGATTCGTAGCCCCATAGGGAACTCCAACTGAGGTCCCAGTGGCTGCATTCGCATGCCTTCTCCACACCATTCCCGTGCACCCCTCAAACGTTTCGTGGCCCCATAGGAAGTTCCACCAGAGGCCCGAATGAAGGGACCCGCGTATCTGGTCCACACCATGTCGGCGAACCGCTCGCACGCGCCGTGGCCCCGTAGGGTGCTGCACCTGAGGCCCCAGTGCCAGGGCCCGCATTTTTGGTCCATACCATTTCGGCGTACCCCTCACACGTTCCGTGGCCCCACAGGGAGTTCCACCTGAGGCGCCATTGCCAAGGCCCGCATACTTGGTCCACACCATGTAGGCGGACCCTCAGACGTTGCGTGGCTCCATAGGGAGCTCCAGTGGAGGCCCCAGTGTCAACGCCCGCACACCTGGTCCACAACATTTCGGCGAACCCCTCGTGCCACCATAGGGAGCTCCACTGGAGGCCCCAGTGACTGCGTTAGCACGCTTTCTCTACACCATCCCCGTGCACCTCTGGCACGTTCCGTGGGCCTTCAGGGAGATCCACCTAAGGCCTCAGTGCCAGGGCTGGCAGGGCCCGCATGCGTGGTGCACACCTTTTCGGCGCAATTCCACGTTTCGTGAACCAATATGAATCTCGACCTGAGGCCCCAGTGACAGGGCCCTCATGCCTCGTCCACACCATGTCGGCGCACCCTCACACGCTTCGTGGCCCCATAGGGGGCTCCACCTGAAGCCTCAGTGCCAGGGCCCGCAGACCTGGTCCACACCATGTCGGCGAGTCCCGCACAGGCTTCGTGGCCCCACATGTAGCTTCACCTGAGGCGCCAGTGGTTGCGTTCGCATGCCTTTTTCCACATCATTCCCGTGCATCCTTGGCACACTTCTTGGCCCCATAAGGAGCCCCCTATGAGGCCCCAGTGCGAAGGGTTCGTTGCCCTATAGGGAGCTCCACCTGAGGCCCTGGTGCCAGCACCCACATACTTGGTGCACACCACTTCGGTACACCATCCACATTGTTCGTGGCCCCATAGGGAGCTCCACCGACGGCTCCAGTTGCAGGACTCGCATCCAATTTCAGTACACCCCTCGCACCTCTCGTGGCCCCATAGGGAGCTCCACCGAAGGCTCCAGCGACAGAACTCGCATGCGTGACTGCGCACATTCCGTCGCACTTCTGGCACTTTTCGTTGCTCCATAGGGGCCTCCACCAAAGGCCCCGCAGCTTGCTGCCCCCCCACAGGGCTGCAACGGCAGACTCGCAGATCATCCGTAACGTTTCACAAGTAGACGTTACCCGTTACGGTTGACCGCCGCGAATCCATCAGCAATGTCGTTCCGTCTTTATCACATTCTTTGTGCTAGCCCCTTCCTTCGGTTTCTATTAGTCTTGCGGTACTCACACCTGCACATAATTGTGCCCCTCGCCAGGCCCATTTCCCTTACCATCCTGTGTTGAGTCGGGCCCTCGTTTTGATTACGCATCGCCACGCGTTCTTCCCTCCTCCCTCCTCCCCTTCCTTCTTCTCTGGTTCGTCGGCCGCGCGCCGCGCCCGAGCGTTCCGGAGCCTGCTCGGAAAGAAGGGTCGGGGGGGCGAGGTGCGCGTTCCCCCGCTCCCAAGCATCGTCCCAAGCAGAGTACCTTCTCCACTCGATTTGTGGCGCCACAAAGAACTTCAAATGAGGCCCCAGCGGCTGCGTTCGCATGCCTGGTGCACCATTTCGGCGCACCCCTCATGTTTCGTGGCCCATTAGGGAGCTCTACCTAAGGCTCTAGCGTTTGCGTTCGCATACCTGGCCCACGCCATGTCGGCGCACCCTTAAACGTTTCGTGGCCCCATACAGAGCTCCAGTTGATGCCCCAGTCTCAACGCCCGCAGACCTTGTGCACGCAATTTCAGGACATATCTCACACTCTTCGTTGTCCCATAGTGAGCTCCACCGAAGGCCCCAGTCTTAGGATCCGCATACCTGGTGCACACTACTTCGGCGCACCCTTCACACGCTTCGTGGCCCCATGGGGAGCTCCACCGAAAGCTCCAGTCTCAGGGTCCCCATCTCTGGTGCGCACAAGGTTGGCAAACCTCTCGCACGCTTCGTGGCCTCATTGGGAGTTTATGCGAGGGCTCCAGTCTCAGGTCCACACCTTATCCTGCGCACCCTTCACACGCTTCGTTGCCCCATGGGGAATTCCATTGGAGGCCCCACTGTTTGCGATCGCATACCCAGCCCACACAATTTCGCACCACGGAAGGCCCCAGTGCCAGGACTCACATGCGTGACTGCGTTTATGTCGGCACACTCCTCACACGCCCCCGTGGCCCCACGCTTGTTGCCCCCCAGGGCTGCGCCGATAGACGTGCAATTCACCCGTAACGGGCTACATTCAGATGTAACCCGCTACGGTTGATTTATGCGACCTCATCAGTAACGTCGTTCTTTCGATCCCACGCACGCTTTAGTCCTTGTTCGCCCCTTCCCTTCCTGTCCATGTGTTTTGAGGTATTCACACTGGCGCACGGCTGGGCTCCTCGCCTGGATAACCACAGAGGATTTCAACAGTTGATGTGCCTCCGGTGTTTTAGAATGGTGTTCCCGCTGCAGCATGGGCCCCATTTTCGGATCGGCGGCGCTTTGCTCTCGTCGTTCAGACTGGCGCTCTCGCCCCAGCGCGGGCCGCACACCTTGGCTCTGAGTCCTTTTTCATTACTGTCGCTCCCTCATTGCCCCTCCTTCGCCTTCCCCTGGTCCCCCTGCTCCTCCCGCTCTTTCCATTCCAGCTCTTCCTGCTGCTGCTGCTCCTCCTCCTCGCACATCCTCCTCGTCCTCCTGCTCATCCGCCACCTCCTCTTCCTCCTCCTCCTTCTTCTCTTCCTCATCCTCCTCTTACTCTTCCCTCTACTCCTATGTACGCAGCGCCCATGGTCTGGTTACGCACGACACGATTGGGGTCTTCCTGGGAGTTCCAGGTCCGTTTTGACACGCGCCCGCGGAGAGGTATAAATCAGCGCCATTGGAATGGAGGAGAGGGAGCGAGGGGCAGGACGTCTGCTATGTCGCGAGCGCACATAGATTGGTTTCTCCTCTGTTCTCTCCCCCCTTCCAATGTACGCAGCTCCTTTTCGTTCCGATTACACATACCACAGTGGGGTCGTCAAGCGTCGGCGGATCGAACCAAAACGGCGCAACTGAAAGGGATGGGTGGGAGGGATAGGATGTCAGATGCTGCGCGAGCGCACTTAGCTGGCCTCTCTCTTCTTTCCTCCTCCTCCTCCTCGTCCTCCTCCTCCTCCTCCTCCTCCTCCTCCTCCTCCTCCTCCTCCTCCTCCTCCTCCTCCTCCTCCTCCTCCTCCTCCTCCCCCCCCCCTCCTCCTTTCTCTCCCGCTCCTCCTTTCTCTTTCGAGCGCATTCCGCCTCCTCCTCGCTCCACCTCTCTCCGTTCTCGCTCCTCCTCGCTCGTCCTCACTCCTCTCGCGCCTCCTCCTCGCTCCACTCCTCTCCTCCTCCTCCTCCTCGCTCCTCCTCCTCCTCCTCCTCGCTCCTCGCTCCTCCTCCTCCTCGCTCCTCCTCTCCCCGTTCTCGCCCTCGACACTCCCCCCGGCGCTCGTCCCATGCCTCCCCTGCCTCCCGCCCGCGGCGCCGCCGCCAGCTGCCGCTCGGGCAGCACGACGAGGCGCGCCCGCCGGGGACCGCGCCCGCACCCTCTTGGGGGAGGGGGGGCGGCCGGCGCGGGGGATAGGCGACGATGGTCGGGAGCCCTGAGACGGGGGTCGATGCAAACGGGGGTCAGCCAGAGCGCCCGATCTTGCAGGATCCTGCAGGGCCAGGGCCGCATTGGCCCGGGTTTGGGCGCAGGATCTTGCAGGATCCTGCAGGATCCTTCGCATTGACCCGGGTTTGGGTGCAGGATTTTGCAGGATCTTGCAAGGCCTGGCTGACCCGGGTCTGGATTGACCCGGGTCAGCAGATCTCCGAGCTAGGGGCGAATAGCCCAGGGGAGAGCAATTCATGTATTCAGGTGCGCCGATGATCTATGTCTTCGAAAAGGCTCCCGGGCGAATACGTGTAATGCCCGCCCCTGGGCTATTCGCCCCTATCGTCGCCGCCAGCGCGGGGGAGGGGCGGCGATGCAGAAGTCTATCAAGCAGTGGCGAAGCGCCCTGGCTCGCCTATAGGCCTACCAAAGAACGGTCTGATAACCTTTTGCGGTTTCCACGACATGTTCTTAGAACATTTCTGGCTGGGACTGTCTTGCTTCAACACATCGGTCTTATGTTCTAAGAACATTGTGTTTGTTATTAGAACATTTTCCGGCTCTAAGGACATGTCGTGTTAGGCCTATAGGAATGCCGGGACGGTCGGTCCCTGCTCAAAGTCTAGGCCTCCCAAATGGGTCGATTATAGACGTAAGAGTGACCTTTCGCCGGAGTGACCTCTGGTGCGGGCCCAGTGGGGCCCCCCGATCGCCGAGCGCGATGCGATAGCAGCGCCTTGCGCGCCTGTGCTTGATCCCCCCACGGCCCCCAAAAAGCCGCGCACCAAAGGTCGCTCTTAACCAGGGTCACTCCTGCGTGTAGCCGAATGGGGTCCGAGTTAGTCAGGCGATCGCAAACATGGATTGAGGGGGCGTGGATCAGCGGGGCGTGAATACGGATTTCAGCCGCCTAACGAGGCTGCACTGGCCGCATTTTTGGGAGGGCACCTCCCCCGATCCATGGATTTGGCAACCGCGCGCCTAATCCATGGATCGCTAATCCATGTTTGCGCGCCCCCGAATCTGGCGTGGTCGGAGGATCACGCCGCATCGCCGATGTGGCTCGATATGGAGCCCGATGTTCTGCACGCCGACGGCGCCGATGCATCGCCAATGCATCGCCGGCGTCGGCGATACGGCGCGTCCTCCGACCCCATCTAGGAGGCATCTGAGAAATTTCGCAGGCCCGTAGTTCGGCACGATCGTAGAGGGTACGGAAATAATTGCGATGCAGATTAACAGCAGTTCTTGTCCATTCTGAACAAGACTCCCTGTCGGTATCGTCTTGCATGTGGACCATTTGAGACAAACGATCGCCCACCCAAGAGCGGCCGCTGTCGGTTTCGGTCAACATGTGCTGTTGGGTATTCTACCCATGTATGCCGTATCCTTTCGGCCATCCAAGATGCGGAAGTCGGGCAGGCCTTCGGTGGGTCCTGGAAACGGCAGGGCCGGTTTGTGCCGTTTTGCAAGTTGCAGGCGAAGAAATTGTTAACCGAAACGGTAGAACAAAAACAGTTCACCGAAACGGCCCAGGCAGTGCGGGGATCCGAAGGACTTTTGGAGCAAGTTCGAAAACGGTCGGGATCGGGTAAAGAAAGCAGCGTGGACCCAGACCAGGCCCACACCAGGGGAAACGAACATTGTACAAAAACAGCGCTGGAAACTTCAAACATTGCGTTGAAAGTGGTACAAGTTACACCGATATGCGATACCACAGGAATTACACCTACATTTTGCACACATGCGCCTATGCAGTCTCGGACTCAAGTACGATTGATCTAGTCCAGGGCCGAGTGGATCAGGCATACCAGTAGCCATATCATAGATAATACTTATATTGATGTGGCAGTGCATATGTACAATCGACACGAAGATGCACGCACCTGATGGGTATCTTCATATTGTTGCAACACGCATACCCGAAAAATGCAACGGCACTAAAAAACAACCGCATACGTACTCAAGCATCCATACCCGCACCGGTAGAAAAAGGAAACATTACGTAGCGACAACCCCGAAGAGACCCCAATGGAATACACCTGGCGCGACGGGCGACAACAGACACGGACAAAGATACAGTGGTACAAGACATGTCGAAGACCAACCGATTGGATACGGCTGGCACGTAGCATTTCCTACAGGTGTACGCAAGACGTCTACAATATCGTACTGGGAACCAGAATCTGCCAGTATGTTCGGAGACGACCGTATGCGGAAACGCCCAAAAGAGAGGCAACTCGTCGTCATAGACGATCGGTATCTTCCCTGTTCGACTCTCGGGCGTGAAGGGCGCGACGAAGACGCCCCTGCGTTCCTAACTGAAACCCAGATTCAGCAAACAACGAAATTCAAAGCAGCCAAGGAAGCAGGGACAAAACCACGTAGACTCAAGAAGCACGTCGATGCCAGACACCACGACTGCGGAGACAAATTGAAAGGATTAGCCTTGGACGCAAGCGCCACCCAGTAAAGTGCGGATGCACCTGTTGAGGAATTAGAACTTCACGAAAACGACGAACACATGTACAGTTCTATTCCGACACGGGCATCGACCGGCACAGAGGCAGACAGATTTTCCATAATACCTACACGATGCTACGGTTCAAATGGTTGCGTGGATATGTTGGATTTCTGCTGTGGGGAAGGCGTCATTGCCAGGCTGGCGTCCAAACGCGGACTAACACCGGAAGGGAACGTAGATTAAGCATTTACGAACGTTAAGCAGTTATCCTACACGACCGACGTAGTGTCATGCGGAGACAGCTATATTGCAGCCCAGTTGCTGAATCATTGGGTTGCCATTGTACTTCAATGATCGGGTCAAGGACGACACTTGCCTTCGACACCATCAGGAATACATGTCATACATCACATGTTGTGGCAATGTGGCCGATGTTCAAAACAAACCAAGAATACATTAGATCAGAGAGCAGCCGCCCGGTACTTGAGTGGACCAGATCCATCTTTGGGTTCAAGTAGGCGAGCGCACTGCTGCGCTAACTGTTACTATAGACCAATATGCTCCTGGCTGGCCTTAAGACGGCAGACGGCCTGCATGATAAGTAACTGAATGAGATCATGACGAATGATCCCGTGTAGCTACAACCTTTGAGGAACTTCTAATGCGACGGGAAGCGCGTCCATGCGCACGTGCGCAGCAGAGCTCTCGCGAACCACGCCCATCGCGCGCAGTCGGCGCTCGGGAACCAGCGCGGCCCATGCAGGGCAAGGCCGCTGATGGATGCGGGTTCATTCTGGGGCGAGAGCACGGGGGCGCGCGGATTTATATTGTGGGCCACGAGCTTGACCTCAACGGCCCCGCGTTTCCTAGAACATCTGCTGGCGTTTCAAGAAGAGCGCCACCAGGAGGATTCGGATGCCCAGTTTGCGCAGATAACGTTGTCGCGGCATGCCCGGGGCACGCGCGAACCCCCGGGGCTTGCCCCTGGCGCGACAAGTCCGCCGTTCATTGGGAATGCCCAACATGCAAGAGGGCACGCGGGCGCGATGGGCCAGGGCGCGGGTTTACGCCTGGCAGACGCAGGTTGGCCGCGCCACGCGCAGCACCGCCAGGCGGCGGCGCTAACCCGCCGGCGCCACCGTCGGCGGGGCGGCCTGCGGAGGCGCGATCGCAGGCACCTTCAATGACAGCGGGCATCCGACCTGCCGCGCGACGCGACCCCTGGGCGCTCGCGCGGGGACACGCCCGATTCCGAACGAGACGAGCAGGCAGCGGGCAGCCGCGGGCGCGAGGAGTTGCAGCGCCATCTGACGACCCAGGGCGCCGCGGACACCGCCCGGGGCCTCCGCGGCCCCAAGAGTGGGCCAGGTTCGACGCCCAAGCCTGCCAAAACCATAGGACCTATGACCCTTCGGCCGTCCGAGGTGCCCGCGCAAATAGCGCCTCCGATGGCGCCGCGCAAAGAGGCCCGAGCGCGGATAATCCCATCGAAGGTTGGCCCTGGGACCATTCGATTGGACCCGGCAAGACAGGTGCGCGACACCTGCCGAGAGCGTCGGGCGCGGGGGGAACTTGGGAACTCCACTTTGCCATCGCGGAGCCTGCCGGGCCGCTTCAACGAAGACGACCTCATGTTCTCCCAAAAGCACATCATATTCCACATCTTCGATCGCCTCATCCGGCGGAGCGCTGGACAGGGGTTTCTTGACAGGGCCATGGGCGCCATCGTTCGCTGCCCAGCAGCGCGGCTGGGGCATCCGCGAACCGACAGAGGGCCCGAGCCCCGATAGAGAAGGCGCCCTAAACAAAGGCACGGCGAAAGCCATGCTGGAGGAAGAGGGCGCTGAGAGTCGGATGCGAGCTCCTGGTCAGCGCGCAATCGCCTGCGAAGCTAGGAATGGTCGGAATGGTCTTCCACGGGTCGCGATGCACACCATGGAACAGGGCTTGCAGCACGGGGGCGCACCAGCGCAACTCAGAAGATTCCTTGCAGAAGCGGCATTCGCGCCCGACGCTTTACTTCCTGCAATGGTGCATCCCCGCGCAAGGCATTATTCGGGCGTCAACCTGCCCGTTCGCTTGATCTTGGCACTCGCGATTTCAACGCGCCGGCGGAAGCGCCCGGCCGCGGCAGCGAACCACGAGTGCGCCAAGTTAGCACAGAAGCTATCGCGCAGGCAATTGTTGCGGCGAAGGCCAAGCGCGCCCTGAAGGCAACCGCGCGAAGAGCTGGGCAGCATTACTACAAACTTGAAAATTGAGCTGGTCGCCACCGACCCACAGCAATCAGGAACAGTTTGAGGGAATGGAATGAGCCCTTCCTGGCGCTGCGCAACGTACTTGGCCGAAGACAAGTTGTAGCGCGAGCAGGTAGTCGGGAAACTGCGGCGCAATGCCCCAGAATCCGGCGCGCGTTGCACATCGAAGCTCTTCGGGCCCGTGGATTTGGATTTGG